TTCTACTTGTGTGATGTAGAAGATAATTATCAAAGTATGTCATTGTGTAAGAATGTTAACAGTCTGTAATATTTTTTAGTATATCACTAGCGTGGTGTAGAACAAAATTATCTATGTAGTAATACTGCTTGCAAACCAATGATGGTAAGATGATGTTATGGGGTAGGACTAGATAAGTCTAACTTCTTCCTACTCCGTTCAAGCATGTACTAGGTATAAGCAAATTGATAATGCATTTGTGGATATGTGTGAAATTATGTGTGTTGACATATTGACTGTCGTTACATGTTTGAAAGAATAAATCAAATCAAATCAAATCAAATGTGTAGAACAATAGTTGTTTGCACTAGCACAAAAATTCATATTTTGGTCAAAGCTGATCTAAAGTGACCAGCAGGCTGTATAAGCTAGGCAGATGGTGTCCAGTGGAATTCTCGCTTGTATGTTATTAGTTGTTGCTTAATATAGATTAAGATCAGTGTTGAAAGCTTAACAAAGCCGAGGCTACACTGCAGCATTCCACTTTAGGTGTTTGATAAGTCTTCACATGTTCCTGTGGAGGTGATTTTTACTCATACAGTACAGAAGGTACACTGTAACTTCACTAGAGATTCTCTGAAGTTTGGAGTGTTGCTTTCAAGCAATAGACACAAATACTGAATAGCTCTAAGCTATTATTACACTCTAGCAAGTACACAAAAGAAACACCATTGTTCTCTACTGCTCTACTGCAAATTCCAGCTACATATTGTGGAGCACTGGAGCAACACTTTCAGTTTAATGTATTACATGCTTTATGGTCAGCAGGTCAGAATTACTGTGTATATGACAACAGACCGCTGCCTCACTGCTGGTCTGACTCAGTCCATATGCAGCAAAATCCACCCATTAGCACATATAAAGCTCATTACAGTAATTAGTCTGACATACTGTATCTCTTTTGTTTAATTTGTACAAAAGCTGAAGTGTAAAAACAACAATTCAGTTTTACAGGGGATCAATAACTTCCTGGACTCTCGGCTGGTCTGCATAATTACTGTATGTATGAAGAATCCTATTCAGAGCTAAGAAACTTTTCAAGCGAGGCAGGGAATATATTTTTAAAGGTTCTTTTATTACATATTGTTTATCTAATAATATACAGCCAGTACAAAAAGTATCCAAATTTTCTACATTTTGGAACCACCAACAGTCATCATAGATCTGGCTGCCCAGCCAAACTGAGTAAATAAATGTACAAAACACTCCAAAAACCTGTTTTCACTTTATCATTGTGGAGTATTATGCGTAGATTGATGAGAAAAAAAAATAACAGAATTCATTTTAAAATGACTCTGAAATTTGACCGGGTCTGAAAACCTTCTGTGCTGACTGTAAAAACCAATCGCATTGTTTCTGAAAAGGGATGTCCATTGGGATGTGAAACACACTGTAGTGTATTTCAACTGTAAAGAGTCTTGTTAGAAACATCCACTGCAGAAATCTTAGAATAATTGAAGTGTAGCTGAGAGGAGACATCCACATGAATGATTGTTACTATAACCTCCTGACAGGCCCTGCTTTGCACTTATTTATAGAAGTGTTTCAAGGTCTAAATGAAACATCCTATAAAACATTCACCTGCAACATTCAATAGCATTTACTACTATTTACAGTGCATAAAAGGTATGGGAAATGGAAGCCTAAAGAAAAAAGGAGTGCTGAACTAAATCATAATGAAGACCTTGTAAAAAAAATTATTAAAGTCAGTCTGTCACTGTTATTTACATGCTAATAGCACAGCTGCAACATATGTGTAGTTCCCACTATAGGCAGGGCATATATACTGTACATACAGTAGTTGAAAAAATCTTTTTCAACTACTGTATGTACACTTACTATGACCTGGACAACTGAGAATCTGCACAGACCTACATACAGTAGTGATAACTGCAGACTTTTTCTTCTAAAATGTTACAAAAGCATGAGAGAGGCGACTGAATAAGCAACACCAACCTTTTCAACACCAATCAGGACAATTTTATCTAAAGGGAACAGCAATAATACAAAAGGGCAGGCAAATCAAAAGAGAATATGGCAAAATGAATGTCAGCATTTACTAAGAGCCGCTGGATGTCAGGACTCACAATCAGAACTCGTTTGTCTTATGTCAAAAGAACAAAAGTGTATCCTCGTGCCCCAGACACAGTCACAGAGTTAACTTAGTGTCAGGATTGGCGTGTATAGATGCCAAACAGAGGTTGTGGTGAACTCAATTATAAAACCAGACGAACCGAGGTAGAGAAAAGTTCTTTACTTGTTGTAACCAAAACAACTAACACAAAGCCCAGGATCACAATCAGGTCGATAAGACAGTCCAGGGTCGGCGCCGGTAAACAGGTATAGCCAGGAGATCCAAACTCGAGAGGTCAAAGGGGACTAAATCAGAAGGTCGGTACACTGCAGGCGATCAGAATCTGGGAGGGCATAGGCAAAAACACGGTGGTCAAAAATAGCAATCCAAGGTCAGAAACAGAGAGTCAGGCAAGGTATAAATGCTGGAGAGTCAGAGCTGGAGTCTAGAACAATCTGGCAGCGTCCTGGTGGGAGGATGCTGCCTAAATAGAAGTAAAAACAGGTGCAAACAATAAGGAGCAGGTGAACTAATGATGATTAAGTAAAAAGGCCAAAACTGAGGTCAAACAAAACAGGAAGTAATGTGAAAATAAAAGCATGACAGGAAGCAAGAGGGGCAGGAGGGTGACACTTATATTCCACTCAGAATGGGAAATGTAGGATGTGAGCAATGTTAGGAGGTCTGATAAAACTGTGGTTTGTTAAATACTGTACGTTTATCTTAATTAAAGGATATATAACATAATCATGTGAAATGTCATTTGCCAAAAGAGCGGAGCATCAATCAGTTATACTTACAAAACAGTTTAAAACACAGATATTGATTTAATTGATATAATTTTATTGGTAAAAGATTTGAACTGATTGCAGATGAGGAACAAATTCAAATCAAAGTAGTTTCTTCTGCAAAAATATGATCCATTTCATGGACTGTTTATGACCTAGAAGAAGAAATTTCAGTATATTCAGAATATAATAATATGCAGCCCATTTTTAAATGACTTGACTTGGTGGAATAGATATATTAGAAGAATGCACTGACAAACAACAGAAATTTTGTAAAAGGGTATAATGGTTGTTTTGCTTTTATCCTTTCAGAACATTTTCCATTACAGACTGAGTTAATCCATGTGATGTAGGCAGAAACACGGGTGAAGACAGTGGGCTTCTGGGGAGCGTTGCATCCCATACCAGACACAAAGCTGGCAATGCCATGGACATACCAACTGTTGTTAACTTGGCAGCTCAGAGGGCCTCCAAAGTCACCCTAGAGGGAAACAAAGAACAATTTGTTAAATGCACACAAATACACTGCCATCTTTTTTCTTTTCTTTTCTTTTTTTTATTGATAGTGTTCTGTTGCAAAATTCTTTGGGGAGTCTTTTTTTTTCAGACTTCTTTGTGAATAGTTTGTGACTTATTATGATGAAGATGGGTGTATATTTTTGACTGTGATTAAAAAAAACCTCAGCAAAAAAGTATAAAAAAGGCTTCTACAAAACTGAAGAGGGATTTAAACCTATTTTTAGAAAATAATAGTGTGACTCAAAAATGTCAGCAAAATATGTGTTATCAGGCATCATATAGGGATAAACTGATACCACAGTGTGATTTGCTTTGCCCACGGTTGATCATGGGGTTGATTTAAGCATTGGAAAGGTTCTGCAGATTTGCTCAGCTGCTGGACAAATAGAATGAATTTGTTTGTGCTACATTTAGCGAGTATACTCATGAGTGTGCTTGGCTTGGTTTGTGCTGAGTGTGAGAGATTTGCTCTTCACTGTAGTAGTGTAGTGTTTTCATATCTTTACACCAACAGACTGATGTTGCATCCTGACTTAGAACCTCCTCCAGCACAGATCATGTCGGTCTTCATGGTGCTGCTCCACCAGCCAGAGCTGGTTCAGGTCTTGTGATCAACAATAGGAAGGTAGGCCTTCTTCATTCTGTTAGACATGCTTCCATCAGCTGTAGGAAGAGGAGAAACACAAACAAATAAACTGCACATGTAAGAGTCCGTTTATAGTTTCCAGTCAGAATTATGAAAGCGAGGAGCTGTGTCAGACTCACTGGAGGTGCGTCCATATCCAGTGATATAGCAGGGGTTGCTGTGGGGCAGGATCTCACCAATAGGAGGCAGAGAGGCCAGCTTCACACAGGGTGACCTCAGATAACAGCCGCAACAGTGCAGTGTCATTACTAATGGTCAAATGATGAGACTGCTTGAACTTCTGGCATATGAGTCTTAGTCAGAACACAAAACTGTCCCACTGAAATCATCAGCAGCAGAAACATGCTGACCAGATATATTAATAGTTTTTAAATAACCTGTGGTGCAAACAGAAGACATCATACAGTCACAACTTCATTTAAATGCAGTTAACCTTATCAGATCTATAAAAATCTGCTGTTCTGAATATTTTAGTTTATATTTATCATCTGTTTGCACCATTAATTTAGTTTCCTGTTTTAAGCAATATTTGTGTTTTTTCTGAATCTTCAGTTAAATCCAGGAGCAAGTGATTTTAGTATATAAATGAAGTTGGTTAGGTGAGTAGGATAATACATTTTTGAGCAGCCCATGTCATAACCTAGAGTGGACTGCTTTTTTGACCAGTCATGAGAAGCATGAGAAATATCCTGAAGATATGTAGGCGATATTTGACAGGTTTTATATCTTATAAATCTTATAGTAATGCCTTTTGAGAGTAACACAAAAGTAACTTACCAACTAACCATTTACTGCCTTAGAATGTAACATTGTAACTTAACTGATTCCTTTTAGTGAACAGTATGTAATATATTACCTTTGACAAGTAAATGCCAAAGTGGTGGACCAACCAACAGAGTAGCATGGCTTCTAAATGTGTTGGGACATAACAGTGCTGATCAGAATAATGTGAGGTTTACTGTATGATGATAGTTTTATCTGTTACCTGTATGCACAGCGAGCAGCAGTCATGACCTATCCTTTCTTGATCAGTGTTCCTCCACAGAAATGGTGATAGGACCCCTCTGAGAACTGCTGGAGAGAGAACTGGAGTAGGACTCACAAAATATTCTCATCAAGAGAAAGCTCCAGTTTTGTGTCTTTGTGCATAAGCTAGCCAGTTGGCTGCAGCTTCCTATTTAATGAAGTGATGCAAGGCGAGAAGAGAAAAAGCCTATTTCCCAAAAAGTATTCATTAAAGAACAACTTTCTTATCATGTATCATTCTTATGGAGATACAACTAGATTTGACCTGTGACAATCTTAAAAACATACATGGAGGGTATTTTGGTTTCATCCATTATCAATACTGAATGGGTAAAAAAAAAAATCTGTATTTTGCACTTACACAACCTTTTTTGTCCTACCTGGCTATGTGATACTGTACCTGCCAGGGCCACGAGGTTTGATAAGGCACTTCTTCACCTCCCACAACTCTTCCTGCAGTGTTGCGCTCCATGTAGCTGGACTGAAGGTCCAACTCAGCCAGCACTGAGGCACAGAGGGGATCTCACTGAAACACCACTGAACCTGTCTTCCTCTTGTGTTAACTGTGCCTTTTTCTTTTCATAATAAGCAAGAAACACTGAATTTCTCAGTAGATTCTTTAGCCCTGACATTACTTACCTGTGGCTGTGAGAGGGGTAAACAGCAGAAACAGGAGCATGTCTACAGCATCATGGCTTTTCTAAATGCATGTCTCATTTTATAACCAGAGCTGACCTTCATTTGATGTGGAGCATCTGCTGTGAGCACGGCAGTGGTCAAAAATGCACCTGTTGTGTGTCTCACACTATCTCACGCTATCACAGTTTGCGATAGTGTGCAAAAACATGTTGCCGCATCACACGGAATTTGTTGAAACATACAGCGATTACTGTTTCTACCTCTCCTTGTATCTCCTTCGGTTTTGAAGTGCTGTACATTTATTTTCACAGTCTGTTGCCACACTTTAATTTGACTTGGTTGTGTGCCACATAAAGTATTTATGAATCAGCTTTTTTAGGTTTCCTTTATATGTTTTGTTGCTGTATAGGAGGATAGATTCATGCCTAAAGAAGAGGAAATGTAACCTTCATGCCATACATAACTGTGGCTACATCAAATTTCTGATGGAAAAATGAGTCATTAGGCAAAATTTAATTAAAGTTTATTTTTGTATAATGAGACCATGCAAGTGAAGCAATGTAGATGAAAACATGATGGAAAGTTGTTTCTGTTTTTCTCTGTTGCACCACGAGTGATACTTCTGTTTAACTCATGATCTGTAAAAGAGAAGTGAATAATGATTAAACATACAGAGCCAAAATAAAATGTCAAAATTCAATAAAATCCTTTCAAAACTAGCATTCCTATCTATAATAAGGAACATTTTATAGGTTATTCTATCACTTCTTATTGATTTACCAAACTCTTATACTGACCGAGTCCATCCAATCAATGTAGGCAGACACACGGGTGAAGACGGTGGGCTTCTTGGGATAGTTACATCCCATACCAGATACAAAGCTGGCAATACCATGGACGTAGTATTTTCCATCAACCAGACAGTTTAGGGGGCCACCAGAGTCACCCTGAGAGAATTACAGAGAGCAGCTTTAGTGTTGTGAACATTCAGTGTATAAAAGAGAAAGAACACATATTGAAGACTTGAGTTTGCAAGATTATTTTCTCTTCTTTGTGATATGAAATGCTTTACTGACATACAGTACAGTATCTTAATCATTCTACTATTTCAATAAAGCCAATCAAAGTACAAGTAAAATAAGTCTTGTATAGTTATATTGTTTTTTTCCTGGTCTTATTTTTCACATAGTGAAAGACTCACATTGCATCCAGACTCAGCGGCACCACCGGCACACACCATGGTAGTTTTGACAGTGCTGCCCCACCAGGAAGGGCTGGAGCAGGTGTTGTGGTCAATGAGTGGAAGGTAGGCCTGCTTGAGTTCGGCGGACAGGCTACCACCAGCTGGACAGGGTGAAACAAAAAAGGTGAGATACAGTGAGCTTTACAGAAAGGGCCCAGCCATGGCACTGAAACTGATGGGCACCCACAAGGAGGGTGAAGTCAACTCACTGGATGTGACTCCCCATCCAGTGACGTAGCAGAGATTGTGGTGGGGCAGAATCTGACCAGAGGGAGGCAGAGAGCCCAGCTGGACACGTGAGTTTAGGGTGGCATCAGAGGACAGACGCAGCAAGGCAACGTCATATCTGAGATGGAGATCCACAAATCAGGTAGAAGGAACCAAAAATAACTCTACTAGGATACTGACTTCATGGGGAATTCGTTTTATCTCTTGGTCAGACCACTACTTCTCTAAGGTAACACTTTTACTCCATACCAGCTTAGAATATACAGGTTTTGCCCAGAGACACTTGAAATGGATTCCCGTTAAAACATTGTAACTCACTAAAGAAAGTCATTAAATCTAAGAAATACTCACCCGTTAGACACTCTGCCAGAGTCCCATCCAGGGTGGATGTAAACATTGCTGACTTCCAGGATCTGCTCTGTGCCACTGTTGCTGTAGAGGTCATGCTCACCCAGAACGACACGCCACACCCTGTTGCTGCAATATTTTAAAAGAAGAAGCAAAGATGTTAACACTCAATGATTAGATATGGTTGTGACTCAAACAACAGCTAGGACCCCATGAATTGTTATTATGATAAACTGGAAAAAGACCACTGTATCCCATTACATCACCTCTGGTTTTGTTTATGATTTGATTTTTTTGTTTGGACACTTTTCTTTCTTTGTGAACAAATCAATTAATTTCCTTTGGTGTGTGACAGTTATAAATGAGGCTGTGAGAAATGTCCTCATGCTGATGATATTAAAAACACTGAAATAAATCATAGCTGGGCCTGGAGATAAAACTAAGCAATGACTTTTCAACAAAGACCACCAGTCAATACATCACAAAATGTGTATAAATATATCCAAAACTCTTACAAGCCACAGAGCACATGGGTCTCTGCTCTGGTTAATCATTATGTTACCTGTCCACACAGTGAGCAGCAGTCATTACCCAGCCTTTCTCAATCAGGGTTCCTCCACACGTGTGGCGATAGCTGCTGCCAGACTGGTACTGAAGAGAGATCTAAGGAAAGGAATCAGACCTTAGTTTATATGAAAATATGAGCAGCATAATATATTGATCTGATTTCTAAACATCATTTTGTTGTTGTGCTGAAATAATGCATCCAGTAAACATGAACGCCATTACTGACTTTGTGTAGCACTAGGTTACCTGCCAGGGCCAGGAGTTGGGGCTGGCCACTTCACCTCCCACAACCCTTTGAAAGATGTCCTCCATGTACCTGGGCTGAGACTCCAGCTCAGCCAGCACTGGTTTAAAAAATAAATACACAAAAATAAGATACATCTTACTCATGGTTTCCCAGAAACCTTGCAATATCAATTGCTTTCCACCTACAGAAGGAGAAAAGGTGAAATTAGAACAATAAGACTGTACCGGTAGAGAAGATTATCCAGAGCACCTATGTGTCCATCCATTACTCACCCATGGCTGCGAGACTCGTCAAAACCAGAAACCTGAACATATCTGCAGTGTGTCAGAATGTTGTTGCAAGGAGCAAATGCTTCTCTCCTTTTATACCCCAGTTCGACCTTCAGCTGATGTGTGACAAAAACCAGGTATGCACATGTGGTCTGTCTCACACAGTGTTATCACAGTTAGTTACCACACAGCTCCTATTCTGACTTCTAGAAAATGGTTCAGAATGAACAATGACATGTAGACAGAAAAGTATATCTGGATGTGAGTCATAGTGATTCAAAGGTCCTAGAAAGGTTATTATGAGTTTATGTGGGTTGATAATGTCCACCACATCTATTTGGAGCTATCAACATACTTTTGAACACTGACCTCAAGAAGTGGGAGTGTAATGATGATTGACTGACCTTATGTCTGCAATAAAGTATCTGATATAGTGAGAAACATAAAAATTTTGTCCTTGAACTTATGACATTTATTCGCACCCAAAGTTTCCAAAATGGACTTTCAGGGTTTTTAGGTACGTATAGGAAATCATGAAACAATAAAATTAATTGTCTGATGAAACAAAATGCAAGTTTTTGCAAATATTTACATTGCGAAATAATCAAGTGTCCATTTGAAACAACATAAAATTTGAGGTACTGTAAGCAAGGGAAAACATGTTTATGTGTTATCTCGCAAGTGACAATTTGGAAGGAAGTAAAGAAAATTTAAACAGTGGGACATGCTCATTTACAAGTGTGTTGTGACAAGTTCAAGGAAAAGCTAACAAATAGTGTCTCAGTAAGGTGTTGGGCCACCATGTGCTGCCAGAAGAGCTTCAGTGCACCTTGGCATTGATTTTACAAGTCTCTGAACTCTATGAGCACCATTTTTTCCAAATATATTCTCTCAATTATTCAGTTTGTCATCTTCCTGTATATGTGAAAAAAGTTAAAGTGATGCAACTGTTTCCTTCAGTGTCAACGTTTCTTGTATAATAGGGTGACGTTAACATGGTGACTGTACGGTAGATTTCTTTTCCTATTACTGGAGCATTTTTCGAACATCTGAGGAACAATTAGAAAAGTCAGCATTTCCAAAAAAAAAAAAAAAAAACAAAGTAGTAAACTATTAATATATTCTACAATGTTTCCAAAACAGAACATTCTTTATGTTTGTTTTAGCCATTTTTTTTTAAAGTCAGAAATGTAATGAAAGAGAACAGAAATCTAGTTCATGGTGTAAAGTACTAGGCATTTTGAGCTGTGCAATTAAGTCTGAGACAAGAAGGACATTTTTTTGTATCCTATATATTTGATCTATTTTTGTTTATTCTAATTCCATTTTATTGATTGTTTTTTTAATTGTTTTATTTATTTTTTACCTAATTGCCTTTTTTTGCTTTATTGTCTTTTATCTGTAAAGCATTTTGAATTGCATTAATTTGCATGAAGAGTCTATATAAATAAAGTGTGATTGGTTAATTGATATAATATCTTATTCTCATTTCATTTATTCATTAGAGAATAGTTAATGATTTGAGCTAGAAGTCAAATTATAAATAATAATTTTTATTGAACACATTATCAGCTGGCATTGCCCCCACCCTCCATGACCTTATTTAGGAATAAGCAGTATAGATAATGGTTGGATGGACATTATGGTATTCTGCGTGTGCAGCAATGACAACTACAACAGTGTCACAATCTGACACTAGAGGGGGACAAAGCCTAATAAACACAGAATCTACTTGGCTACATATGGATGCATGATATAAAGGCATTTCATCATGTTGTATGCATGATTTATGTCTCATGTGGCCTCTCATATAGTACTGGCACTTCATTTCACTTCACTTCACTTCACTTCATTAACACCCAAATCTTCATGCAATTTCAATTTAATTATGTTTCAGATTTTGTGTTGTGTGTAAAATGAAAAAAAAAAAACATTAGAAGTGAAAAGCTACATTTCCAATTGGAAAGAATTAAATCCAGTGTGAGAACTGAGTTCAAGAAGATTTCTCTCCTATATTTTGCTCTGACCTCTTTGACCTCAGATGGATTACTTGATGATATATACACAATAAGGCTCTAAGTAAAGTATATATAATAATACTTATTTTAAAAGCCATTTAGTAGTTCTGGTCATGCTGATATATTACTAACAATAGGTTTCTGGACAATAGGAAGGTCTTTGGTGTGTCCATCTTTTATAAAACAACTCTTAATTAGACAGGAAGTCATTAAAACTGTATGGATTTTGGATTATAGCCTTATCAGGCTATTAAAGAGATAGCTATGTTGGCTGGTAATTGAGCAGGCCCCCTGGTACACAGGGGAAAGGGTTTTAATGCTACAAGACTTCCCAATCAACAGGGGCTCCATAATTTTGTTCTGTGCTCATAGAGCCTCTTCGTCCCCTCTAAACTCCTCATTTACCCCTCCACCACCCCAGCCTTTTCTTGCAGAGGCATAAATCAAATAGAGAGATCAAAGACAGGAAGTGCTGGGGATGTGTTAATTAAAGATGTTTGTTCTTGATACAGCTTCCCTTCATTAATGAACAGTCGATTTGGCTCCCATAAAGATGTCTCACACACATGGGCAGGAAATTGAGGTTCCAGAAAAAAATTAATGGGATGCACTGATTGGCTCTGTGATAGAAAGTCAGCGAGGGCTACACAAGGGTAAGTGTTTATTGTGCCACTGTGACACTATTTGAAAAGCTTGAACTGCTAGCAGAGTGGAGCTCAAAGATTCAGTCCAGTTCAAAGAAACTACTACTGTCATTATTCAGTCATTCATTCCAGCATGCTTTGTTATCAGAGTTGGCATGTGATGCTAAACTTGAGGCAATACAGCATCAGAATATTTGGATGATTTGAGAATTACACAAGACAATTTGAAGCATTTGCAGACACAGTATTAGTAAGAAAGTGATTTTGCTTTTGAGGAGGCTAAACTGATGACAGCCAGTAGCTGACATAGTCTTTCTATTTTATTTTGACTTTAATCAAGTAAAATCTCACCAATGCAACATCTTGTACACAAATAAACCAAGACTGACAACTAGATGATAAAGTATGAAAGGTCAGAGAAGGATAGAAGACACCGTCAATTTTAAGAAAGCTAAAATGAGCTATAGAATAATTTACCACAGAGTTTACAATTCAGTCTGGGATACTGTTTTTAACAAAACTGACCTCCCATGATCCATCCGAGTTAAATTTATGTTCCTCAGCTTTCATAAAATTCAAACTCAGTATATATCATCTAGATTTTATTCCACCATGGCTGCTTAAAGAAGTCCCGGACACTGTTGAGCCCAATATTTTAGCAATGATTAACAGCTTCCTGGTAAACAGCTGCATCCCATGCAGTTTTAAACATCCTGTCATACAGCCCCTGATTAAAACAACATAATCTAGATTTGTCTGTGCCAAATAATTATTGACTTATGTCAAAGCAATCATTTTTTGTTCAAAATTCTTGAAAAAGGTGTTCTCTCTCAACCAACCTCCAACTTGCACAAATTTAGTATCCTGGATAAACTTCAGTCAGGTCTCAGGATGCACCATAGCACAGAGACAGTTCTCTTGAGGGTGACAAATGACACGCTTTTGTCACTTGATTCAGGTAATTACACTATTTTTATTCTTTCAGATCCGTTTGCTGCCTTTGACATAATTGGTCACACCATCCTTTTAAACCATCTTAAGCATATTTATGGCATTCAGGGGCTGGCCCTTCATTGGTTTACCTCCTACCTCCAAGAAAGATTAACCTTGGTTAACGTTGATAAAGTCTACTCCTCTGGCCCCATCTCCTGTGGAGTACACAGGGCTCCATATTAGGCCCTAATTTTTTTTATAGTATATGCTTCCTCTCAGGTTTTTCTTTGTTTTTAGAAAATACAGTTTCTCCTACTACTGTTATGCTGATAACACCCAGCTGTACCTCCCTTTGAAACCTGATGCATGGTATTTGAACTCCCCTGCAGAACTGTATGAGCAATGTGAAAACCTAGATAGCAAAAAGCTTCCTTTAGCTAATCGAGAACAAACCGAGGTCCTAATCTTTGGGCCAACAGGTTTAACTCTGCTCAACACTCCTGGGCCTCTGTCATTGAACGTGTAAACCCACACACAAAATCTTGGAGTTATATTTGATGCCGATTTAAAATTTGATAAACAAATCAACTTATGGTCAGCATTAGTTTCTTTCAGCTAATATCACTCATAAAATTAAAATTATTACTGTCTGCTAAAGACTTGGTGATTATGATGTGTGCTTTTATTTCCTCTCGCCTCAACTACTGCAACCCACTCTATATAGAAATCAATCAGTCAACTTTATCTTGCCTATACTGGTTCAAAACTCAGTGGTTAGAAATTCAGTGTTTCTTCAAAGCTGCAAAACTCCTCACTGGAACCAAGCAGAGAGACCATATGTTACCAGTGAGGTGCAGAATTAATTTTAAGATTCTTTTATTTGTTTTATAGTGCTGCATGGCCTGACAGCAGGTTACATCACTCACAACTCACTAAGGTCCTCCCCCTCCACTGACATTTTTAAGACCTGTATGGCCCACCTATTTTCTTTAGCCTTTTCATTATTTTTATTCAGACATTTTATGCTTTTATCAAATTTCTTATTCTATTTTTTATGTTTTGTTTTATACTATTTTCCTTGTGCTTTATTTCTTTATATTGTCAAGGTGTTCATTGATCTCTTCTGCTTGTAAAGCACTTTGGTCAACATTTGTTGTTTTTAAATGTGTTATATTAATAAAGAGACTTGACCTGACTTGACTACTCCAAGTGGCTGGAGCAGAAAACATAATAACCTTTGATTTTTCTCATTTCTGTCCATACACTATGAACAGACAGCAGATATGTGTCTTATGATCTAAGATTATGATTGGGAGATGAACTCTGTCAAATAAGTTTGCCAAGATTTTAGAGAAGTTTGTCTAGAATTGCTTTATAAATAAAAATATGTCAATGACTCAAATGATGCTCAGTGGGAGATGACCAGCCTACTAGATGAGCTGGCCAATACAGTGCTGAGTACATGGTTATAAGTTGGTGACAAACTTTAATGTATCATGATTAACCAGCATATGAAGACATTGTGCTGTGGCATTCATGTATAACAAGTCACCA